TACCTAATCCCAGACAGGACACCCTGAGTCCAGACTTGCCCAGGTTTCTGTCAACAAAGGGAACATGTTTTGCTGTAACTGCAGACATCACTGAACATGTGCTGTGACAGAACAAGGAGACAAATACTAGCCATAATAGGCTGTACGCTAAAAGCTGCTGGATTAATGATGCATGTCCAACTGGTTTGTCCAGGTGAACTATGGTGACCATTCCTGCCCATTAAAATACTACTTAGGGGTGTTTGCCGCCGTCTATTGTCCGTGAAGTGTTTTATAACAAATGTAGAAAGGGGTGCCTGCTATCAACTGGGATCACCACCAGTACAGATATGCCTTTGGGTCTGTAGGTGCAAAACTTGACCTTTCCATCTCATGTGTGTCTTCCAACACCTGTGAAACTGACGTTAATGTTTCTGAACTTATTTGGTGGTCTAAGATGGGAGAATCCCTATGGAGAGTAAACCCATTGCGTGGCCCAAAACACAATACCCCACCTCCCACTCACAGATCCCTTCCAGTGCAGCCTCTCCTCTGGGAATCCTCACTCACTCACATCAGATCCCTTCCAGTGCAGCCTCTCCTCTGGGAATCCTCACTCACTCACATCAGATCCCTTCCAGTGCAGCCTCTCCTCTGGGAATCCTCACTCACTCACATCAGATCCCTTCCAGTGCAGCCTCTCCTCTGGGAATCCTCACTCACTCACATCAGATCCCTTCCAGTGCAGCCTCTCCTCTGGGAATCCTCACTCACTCACATCAGATCCCTTCCAGTGCAGCCTCTCCTCTGGGAATCCTCACTCACTCACATCAGATCCCTTCCAGTGCAGCCTCTCCTCTGGGAATCCTCACTCACTCACATCAGATCCCTTCCAGTGCAGCCTCTCCTCTGGGAATCCTCACTCACTCACATCAGATCCCTTCCAGTGCAGCCTCTCCTCTGGGAATCCTCACTCACTCACATCAGATCCCTTCCAGTGCAGCCTCTCCTCTGGGAATCCTCACTCACTCACATCAGATCCCTTCCAGTGCAGCCTCTCCTCTGGGAATCCTCACTCAGACAACTCAAGTCTGTGTGAGTTTAAAAGAGAACAAAAGATCCCCTCCAGAGCACAGTTTCACCTAACACCACATCCCCAGCACATCCTCGTGATGCCTCGGTTGTGCCAAACTATTATTTAATATCAGTGAAATGTGCTTATTTGTCCAAGTTAAGAGAGAGGAGTGGTGTTTTCTAAACAGACATATAAACAGTAACCCAAGTCTTCTAAAAGGACTTCCCAATCCATGAAAGGTCTTGTAAATCGTGGACAGAATGCGTGTGGGAGTGTTAAAGTGGTGCCAAAAAGTACACAGTTCCAAACACAACGCTTCATTTCACCCTTTGACTTGAGTGGGATGGAATGGAATACAAAGCTGAATAGTTTTGGAGTTAAAGGTACTGAATGCCGACTTTAGATAACACTCATTACAGTCAATATTCCCTGGCTAGCTTGTAAAATGGTTCATATTTCTTGCTAGCTAGCTAACCTTATGGCTCCCCAAACTCGAGCTTCTATGATCTGGGACATCATCATTGTTGGCGATGTCAACAAAGTCATAATTAAAACATAAACACTGTTAAGGGAGTTATGGGAGGTCTTGCGGTCAGAGACCTCGCTCCCCCTCCTCCTTCAGCTAAGCTGTGGAGCGGTATGGCAGTTATATAAGGCAGTGTGTTAACCAATTATATCCTCTGGCTTGTCTTTGTTCAGCACTGGATACAGCAAGAAGGATTATTTTTGGATATGACATCTGTAGATAAATAAGAGGGCGATACTATGAGAACAGCAACGCTTATAAAGGTAGAATAGGACAAACAGCAGGCATTCATTTTGGGAGCGATTTTCTGCAGATGAGAAAGCTATTCAATGCCTTCCCCAAATGCAGTATCAAAAACAGCTTCATAGTCCTAACAAAAATATTGTCAATTGGAATTTCATCGGGTTAGAGTAACCATTTGAATGTTTCTTTTTAAATGAGATCTAATGGTGGACTGGGTTTCTGATATAAGTACAGTATATACAGAAGAAGTATTTTATTCTAGGTACTTGCTGAATTGTGCTTCAACAACTTCACTATCAATGTATGAGAATGGAAAGTCTCTTGAAGCCCTGTGGTACAATCCAAAATGCTATGAAGAAATGAAATAAATAAATTACTTTATTACATTTATTTACATGTATTTTTCTCCCATAATCCATAATTTATCCAAATCATCATGGCCTAACGATTACCTCCATGGACAGTTTTTATCATTTGACGTGTCTGGATGATTTAATACCTCGTTAATACAGAACAGCTATTATCTTGACCTTGCTTTCAGAGTTAATCCATGTAAGATTTCTTTTATCTGTGCTTTCCATTTTTTCCTTTTTTATTTCAAGGTCTCCTTCAAACTTGATGTAATTTATTAAGCCACACTTTTCTTCTGAAACAGTGTAGGCTTACCTTAACAAACGGGGTGAAGCTTTGCATTTTTTATGACATATTTTTTAGATTAATGATACAAAATCACAGTTTCATTTAATGTTGCAATCATGAAAATAGAATATATTATTTATAAATTAAATAGAGGTCAAAAAAATTTTTAAATGCAGTAAATCCTGCATATTAATCTGTTTTACACTATTGAACAAATAGACAAATGAACATAGAGATGTTATCTTAAGCCTGTCAGTCTTGCCAGGGTGCAGGTACGTAGTCTTTTCCTTACATAATTTATGTAGTTTATTTTCTTACTAATGTAAAAACACATTCCACACTTCCCAGAACACAGAGATTACAAATCTCCCACAGACAGATGGCACAGGTTCTCCTGTGAGTCAGAAAATAAATCAACCATCTCAGTGTATGACTACTGATTTAAGATCACCCATTAATTTCATCTTACTCACTGTAATCTGAGAAGTAAATCTAACACCTGACTGCATAACCATTAGCATTAGCATGTGTTGGGTATTTCCCAGACTCCTACCTATACTTCATGCCAGTGCGGATACTCTGGTCGCTGGATGAAGGGATGTTGACGGACAGCTGTCCCAGGCTACGGGCCACCATGGCAACGGCGCGGAACTTGCTTTTGGTTCCCAGATTGGGGCTGTTGGAGTTTCGCTGGTTCAGACGTTCCTCGGTAGTACGCGTGACGCCACCTCCACGATGGTTTTCCGAGCATACCAACGACACCTGCATGTTGATGGCCCAATGAGAACAGCCCCGTAGGGCAGCCTAGACACACCTCAGGTGGAAAAGGAGTCCTCTGAATGAGAACAGCCCCGTAGGGCAGCCTAGACACACCTCAGGTGGAAAAGGAGTCCTCTGAATGAGAACAGCCCTGTAGGCCAGCCTAGACACACCTCAGGTGGAAAAGGAGTCCTCTGAATGAGAACAGCCCTGTAGGGCAGCCTAGACACACCTCAGGTGGAAAAAGGAGTCCTCTAAAGAAACAACTAATACGTCAATAGAGTCAAGCGACAACTCCAAATGGGGTTGGCAACCAAGCAGTTTGTTTTAAACGTGTTGCCTACCTCCCCCAGAAGAACACTGTGAAAGGGAACAAACCCCTAGGAGTTGAACTCCATACTTGATACAGCTTGGCAAATTTTAAAGTTATTGCACAAACGAGAGGTGTTGTTCTGCAGCATCGTGTCCAGTGTAGCCACAAAATACACTATGCAGCAGCCAGAGGCGGTGAAAAAAAGACTTTCTAGATCCAGAGTGGCAGAAGAAAGCAGAAGCAACTACTAGTGAGAGTAGTCAAGCCGATTTAGAGCGAGTATACAACAGCTTCTTGGTGTCCACTGGTGAACTGTAGTCCCACTCTGCAATGATGCGCCTTCGCCCAGAACCCTCTTTAGAGCCCACGCCACATCTCCGACAGACAATCAATTCCAGGCAACCAATCACATCAACCGACTAACTCAATGGTCACGTGTGTCTCCAGAGCACTCACAGGGAGTCCTTACAGGGAGCTGGCCCCCTCCGTTTATCCTCTCATCAGCATGTCACATTTTTGGTCTTTTCCTTTCTCTTTCTTTGTTCTTTCTTTCTCTTGTGTCGGTCCAGCAGATATTCTGCAGCCATCTTCTCGTTTGAATGAACAACTCAATAGCGCTTGCCTACTGTGAACACAAGCAAGAGTTGGAGTGTCGTTTTGCATGTGTGTGTTAGAGAGAGAGAGGGAGAGTGTGAGTCAGTGTGGGAGGGAGAAAGGGAGAGTGTGTGTGTGTATTTTGAGGAGGTGGGATTGGGAAAAGCGAGGGGGCAGATAGTAATAATGTCTATGTGGGACTATGGAAGAGTGTTGGATATGTACACTGGGACCATATTTGAACAATTTGACAAATTATGATATACTGCATATCAAAATGATGGAGCTTTTTCTTTATTGTATCGTATCGTTTCTTGATATTTTTAACGTTCAACACTTCTTTATCCACCATAGTTGAATGGCTCTAACATGTGTATTACACATGACAAAAATACCTCCTACCACTCCTTTTCCTAACCAACTTGTTCAGACATTATTGAATACATTTGCTGTAATCAGTAATTAATTAGAATAAAAACACTTCTCTGTAAACTCTTTTTTATTAGTCAATTTGTTGGAATTCGATCCAGCCATACAGTTCACCGATCTGGCATTTAAGACCAGCAACAAACACACTGATGAGCCAAAACATTAGGACCACCCTCCTCATATGCTGTTGGTCATCCCTGTGCCTCGACCCGTTCCTGAAAAACGTGGGCAGAGTGGCAGGCCGCAGTACCCCGCCCCATCGGGGAATACCATCTCCATGAAGGGGTGTTACCGGTCCGCAACAACGTTTAGGTAGGTGGCGCCAGTCAAATCGATGTCCACGCGAATGCCCAGACCCAGGGCTTCCCAGCAAACCTATTACTTGGCCAATGTCAAAGTCAATCAGTTCTTCTCTCCTGCCCGTTTTTCCCGCATCCAACACAGCAGTTGTTGGCTCAGTGGTAGAGTGCATGCTTTGTGTGTAATGTCCTGGGTTCAATCCCCAGCTTGGCAGCTTCTCTCCCCAGGTTGCAGAGAAGCTGGGGATTTATTTTTTTAATTAAGGTTAAATTAAAATATATATATATTCAAATTAAAAACCTGTTCAGTGCACTGAGACCTAGACATGTGCCCATGTTTGGAAACAATTAGCATTATCGCTTCGCCTTGTAGGTGGTCATAATGTTTTGGTTCATCAGTACACACACTCAAGAGTGCACACTGTTGTTTACCGGTAAGTTCCAGAACTAGTATAACAAAATATATTCGTTTGCTCTGTCATGTTTTAATCCCCCAAATTACCTTCAAAAAATGTACGGCACAATTTGACTGTGTTTTAAATCAAGATCCCCAAGGTAGTGTGATAATAGAAAAATAATGAACTTTAAGCCATTAGAACAAGGCCTATATTAAGTTGAAGTTGTTACAAATAGGCCTTGTTCTGGCTTTGGTAATTGTTCTGCTCATGCATGCTTTCAGAAGAACTGTTCGTTAATAAAGTTTGATGCATCGGCAAAATGCTTTTGATAACTTGAACCTACAATCATTTTGTTTAAATAAGGTTGTAGTACAGTACGTAGCAGTGAGGCTACATTTTACTTTTAGAATTGTATTCCATCCTGTGGTAATTAGCAGCATGGTGGCTATGGTAGTCTGTCCTTATCAGTATATAGTTCTGATGGGCATCGTTTGTTTTTCCAAACAGTGCCCAAGATAGTTTTCAATCAAATAGTGTACTGCATTCCAAATGTTCCTTGCAGGGATCTTGAAGGAGTGTCTATTCATTAACACAGTTACGTTATCATGTTTCCCAATCCCCTCGAGGTTCCTCAAAGACCAAGACAAGGACACGGCTGAATGCCAGGCTACATATGGTATAGACCTATCTGCCTAATGATTGCCCAGGGTTGTTAGAGAGAGAAAGCACTTAGTGTGCCTGTGTGTGTGTGCGCCAAAGTTAATGGAGCTGCTTTCTTTTAAACCCAGACAAGCATGTCTGGCATTGTATTCACTAACTTTCCCTTGGCCCCGTTACAGGAAAGGATATTTCTGTCCCTGTCTGAATTTTTGAGGCAACAGTGTACTGTATACAACTACTGTATGTATGTATGTGTGTCTGCATGCGTGTGTGTTTCAGTGTATCAATGATTGTGTGTATCATTGTGCCAACGTTTATGTATCAATGTGCCAATGTGTGTGTGTATTAGTGTGCCAATGTGTGTGTGTATCAGTGTGCCAATGTGTGTGTGAATCAGTGTGCAAATGTGTGTGTGCATCAGTGTGCCAATGTGTGTGTGCATCAGTGTGCCAATGTGTGTGTGCATCAGTGTGTCAATGTGTGTGTGTATCAGTGTGCCAATGAGTGTGTGAATCAGTGTGCCAATGTGTGTGTGTGAATCAGTGTGCCAATGTGTGTGTGTGAATCAGTGTGCCAATGTGTGTGTGTGTATCAGTGTGCCAATGTGTGTGTGTGTATCAGTGTGCCAATGTGTGTGTGTGAATCAGTGTGCCAATGTGTGTGTGTGTATCAGTGTGCCAATGTGTGTGTGAATCAGTGTGCCAATGTGTGTGTGTGTATCAGTGTGCCAATGTGTGTGTGTGAATCAGTGTGCCAATGTGTGTGTGAATCCGTGTGCCAATGAGTGTGTATCACTGTGCCAATGTGTGTGTGAATCCGTGTGCCAATGTGTGTGTGTGAATCAGTGTGTCAATGTGTGTGTGTGTATTAGTGTGCCAATGAGTGTGTATCACTGTGCCAATGTGTGTCCATTCTTTCATAGCTTTTGCTAATGGATAAATGTCTCCGGGCTCAGATAGGTCAGTGTGAATAGACATATTTTACAGTCTTTCTATTCCTGGAATTGTGTGTATGGGTTTTTGAATACTGTGTGTGTGTGTGTGTGGGGGGGTGTTCTAGCTGGCAGAGCATGGCTTCTGCTACACCAGGACAGGGGGTTCCTGTGCAAGGATTACTAATCCATATGTGCGAAGGAATCACTGTATGTCGCTTTAGAAAGGTTCTTCTAAATGGCATATATAGTACATGTACATTGGCAATGTCATTGTTGATACAAGCTAGTACCTAAATGTCTCTGTGTGTATGTAGTACGCAATTTTATCAGAGAAATTGTGTCGGACTCTGGGGATAATGAAACCCAATACAACAACGACGGACTGTAGTGTCAAAACCCTGCTACTGCCAGACGCGTTCAGCCATTCTCTTGTCCTGCCTTGCCTTGTTGAAGACCAACATCTCCCCAGGGCTACTTTGGACAGGGGCAGGATGGGAAATGTACAGTAGACGGTGATATGAAATGAAATTAAAGAGGATAACGTTGTCTCTTTGTTTGTCAGAACCAGGTCAGCGTGGGTCTATATGAGTCTAATAAAAGACACTGAGCGTGGGTCTATATGAGTCTAATAAGAGTAACTGAGAGTGGGTCTATATGAGTCAAATAAGAGACACTGAGCGTGGGTCTATATGAGTCTAATAAGAGTCACTGAGAGTGGGTCTGTGTGAGTCTAATAAGAGTAACTGAGCGTGGGTCTATATGAGTCAAATAAGAGACACTGAGCGTGGGTCTATATGAGTCTAATAAGAGTCACTGAGAGTGGGTCTGTGTGAGTCTAATAAGAGTAACTGAGCGTGGGTCTATATGAGTCTAATAAGAGACATTGAGCGTGGGCCTATATGAGTCTAATAAGAGTAACTGAGAGTGGGTCTATATGAGTCAAATAAGAGACACTGAGCGTGGGTCTATATGAGTCTAATAAGAGTCACTGAGCGTGGGTCTATATGAGTCTAATAAGAGTCACTGAGAGTGGGTCTATATGAGTCTAATAAGAGATACTGAGAGTGGGTCTATATGAGTCAAATAAGAGACACTGAGCGTGGGTCTAAATGAGTCTTATCCACAAAAACACGACTCAAACTTAAATAGGTTCCCCATCAAGGGCAATACAGGGCAGCTGCCACAAATTTGGGAGAGAACCGCGTTGATTTACCCAGTCAACCCCAGATCCCAGAAAGGACCTCTAGGTTATCATAAAGAGGCCACAAAACCTGACATTTAAAAATGTCTTTGTTTTTAAAAGAAATGCACATTTTGTTTCAATTAAAAGAACATTATAGCAATCAGAAATACAGCGTAGGCATTGTTTATTTTGTAAATTATTATTGTTATTAAAAAAGGCTAATTAATCATTTGAACCCCCTATTTGCAATTGTAACAAAGTGCAGCAAAAAAGTTGAGTATCGGGAGCATCAGCAGTGTAGAATATAAGTATTAATTCAGCTATTTAATTATATGAATTAACATTGGGGAAAAGACAGCATGTGTGTTTTTGTTCAATTGCAGGAATGTGTAATGACCACAATAACCATCTAGCAGGGATGGCGCTGTAACCAATACATATACTTGTGTTGTATCGAAGAAGCCCACATTCTGTGTTTTAATTCTTGTTAATGGCTACAAAGCCAGTTAGCTACCATTTAGTAGTTGAGTTAAGAGAGGTATCTTAGGAAGGCTGTAACGCTCAGGAAGCTATCTGTGTTAACAATAACAGAGCTGCCTTCTCCCTCGAATCAAAACGGGATGGATAATGAATTAATTCCACTATACGATTGGATGTAGGCTATTCCTTGAAAAATTAATATATTTAACAGCAGTTGACCGTATGGTACGTATGAAGTGCCCATCAAGCCAATCCAAATCGTGGGAGGTGCTTCAGGTAGCACAATGTGAAATCTCTTTAGATTACCTCAACAAATTGACAACTCGAATTCAAAGGTCTGTAAGGTCGTAACTTTGAATCCAGCAACCGTTTTCTGATTTTAGACACATACGTTTTAATTGGTTTATGCTGCTTACATTAATTTTGACATACGCTGACTCAATAAACATAATCTCTTTTCTAAGAAGAGCAGAGTAAGGTGTTTACCTTACAAATAACGTTGTCTGCCTACAGCCATAATCATTGTAATGTGTAATTGTTGGTGTTTATGCACATATTAGATGTGTTGTATTGCCCAGAAATAGTAGTTGCTGCTTCAGCAGGAGCTATGGAGATTTACTATAAGTAAACAGAAACATATGTGTTATTCATGACCTCCTTCAGTCCCCACATACATTTTTAGACCTGGATCTCACACACACACACACACACACACACACACACGCACAGTCTGTTATCCAGGGAACAGACTCAAAGATGAATCCAAGCCATATTTAATAACCACCAAATAAAAGCCTACTGCTGTCAGCCACAATAACCCTTGCAATTAGCACTTTATAGATGCAAGTGGAAATACTAGATCAAATATATTATTATATATAGGATATGTCACATCAAACTCTTCATTCTCATAATATCTTCAGTGAAATCATAGATATCCCCTAATCCCCATTGTCTTCTCTTTAAGGCTGTATGTGTTTTGGACATTGGACAGGCAATCTTTTGCCAAATCGTGAACTTGATATTATGCCTGACCAAGGCTGCTAGAGCTGAATGGATTTCCGGAATGAAGTTCCGCTTTACAAAAGATTTGTTAGCTGTGGGATTTGAACAGCATTCAATTTTTCCATTTCATGTACCGGTAAGCTGGTACCTGGTCTGTACCTCATCCATATCACCCTCCCACCTCACATGTAAGCTGGTACCTGGTCTGTACCTCATCCATATCACCCTCCCACCTCACATGTAAGCTGGTACCTGGTCTGTACCTCATCCATATCACCCTCCCACCTCACATGTAAGCTGGTACCTGGTCTGTACCTCATCCATATCACCCTCCCACCTCACATGTAAGCTGGTACCTGGTCTGTACCTCATCCATATCACCCTCCCACCTCACATGTAAGCTGGTACCTGGTCTGTACCTCATCCATATCACCCTCCCACCTCACATGTAAGCTGGTACCTGGTCTGTACCTCATCCATATCACCCTCCCACCTCACATGTAAGCTGGTACCTGGTCTGTACCTCATCCATATCACCCTCCCACCTCACATGT